ACTCCACTCAGAAAGGCCCTGGTCCGACCGGGATTCAAACCCAGGACCTTCTTGCTGAGAGGCGACAGTGCTATCCACTCAGCCACCGTGCTGTTTCCACAATTGAGAGGAAACGGCCAAGAAAAAAAACTTCACGAAGCAAAAGCTTGAGACCATTATGAACAAAGTGGGAAAAAATAAAGTCTTTATTTGGAAGCCTCCAAAGTGGCATCAAGGCTCACTTCCAGATTGATGAATGCCAACAGGTGCATTTTTTTTCCCCGTTCCCCTCATTTACACCCTGATTTGGCCGTACGCAAGTTTCATAAATGAGGGCCTTTGTCACTGTTGTCCTGGTGACAGGGTCTGACTTTTTCAACACACAAATGTCTCAAGATCGCCCCGTGGTTCTTTACTGAGAGCATAATCCTAAAATTAAGTGAGTCCTTCCCCAAAATCCAAACAATGGCAGGATCAGGAGAGCACCGAAGACAGTTTAAGACCAAATAAAGTGTGACACGCACAGTTACTGAGCAAGAGGAGTTTATCTGTGCTTTGACAGGAGCCAGAGAAAGATGGATCACTTTCCTATTGGGCTTCAGTAAGCTAGTGGGTTAGTATTGTCCATTTATATACTTATATACAGTCTATGATCTATACACAGTCTATGCCACATATTTGTGACATGTACCTATGATAAAATACCAAAAAAAGGACAGACAAGTGCTGAAATCCTCCCCGTGTTTAATGGGCAGTTAGTCAAATACATATAAACAGAGAGTAGGAAAAGTACATAGTTTTCCACCAGGTAGGGGCACACCCACATTCAGAACTATTGGATTCCATTTTTACAACATATTTTTTGCGTTGGGTGTGTGCAGTGTAAAAAACAAACATTTTAATTATTCATATTATTATGATACAAGAACAATAAATTAATCATAAAAAAACCAAACTATTGAGCACTTTATTTACAAATCATATCCTCGGGAATATAAACAAAAACATTCCAGTAACAGTATGAAGACAGGGGACAGTGGACTCCAGCTTTTTGCATACAGTGTGAAGCTGCTGTTGTGGCGTGGGACGAGGACGGTGAGGACGGCGAGGACGGCGAGGACGGCGAGGACGGTGAAGTAGCCTGGGCCTTCTACAGTGGGGGATGGAGTTGGTTTGACCCCACCTCTCCTCTGTTCCATCCAATCAGATGCTACATATGCATGTCCTCGCCGAAATAACAAAGACGGCGTCAGACTGAGAAGGAAAGAGGATTTAAAGTGGCCCTTCCTTAAAAGTCGAAATGACGTGGAGATGCAGTTAAAACCATTAGTCAACGCGTCATTTTACTAGGCTTTTTTTTGCTCCTGGAAAAGTGGTCCCTTCGACTTTTCCCCCCTGATTGGTTTCCTCTGCGAGCACACGTGTGGCCCTGCTCCCATCAGGACTGAACGAGTGGGTAAAATACTAGGAGATTATTCTAGAAACCTGGTGACTTGAGGAGCTGCGACAGGAAGCGGCTTTACCAGAAACACTTTGCCATTTGAACCTTCTATAAGAGTATTTCACTTTGATTACATAATTTTGATAAGTTGAAAGTGTGCATGCTCGACGTGGGAATTTAGTTCAAGATTTTTTTGCTGAACGAGAATCCGTCATGACTATAATTTTACTTTAATGTGGCTTTGTAATGTCAAAAACTCCCAGCAGCTCAGACCGTGCGTCCCCTGTCCCAGCTCCAGGCGCGTGGAGACGAGTTTCCAAATTCAAACCATTTACAAAAGTAGAAATAAGCGTGGAACAGACTGGACACAGCTTCAGACAGCAGCTTGCACCATAAAAACTTGGATTCCAGACCCCCCCTCCCATCCCCATCCCCATCCCCCTCCCAAAACCTATTTACACCACCCTCCTCACATACAAGAGGTAATAGAAGAAAATATTATGAAACATCGGTGTCTGCAAAAAAGTCTACCATTAATTTGGATTTTCCTTTTTTTTCCCTATAGCACAAGACTCCCATCATCCTGTATTGAAGAGGCAGTTTCCTATGGCCAAGCGAGACAAGTACATTGTATCATGCTGCACTAATATAGTGCAAAAGTTATGCCTGGAAATGAACGGAGGGGCCGAGCAGGCAGAGGCGGTGATGCGGCACGAGACACGGACCTGAGTGGACTCTGTTTCACTCGGTTTGGATCCATCCCATCTTTACTTTTTATTTACTTTCACCGTGGGCTGAGAGGTGGCAGATATGTTCTCAAGAGTCATCAAGCTAAAGTCATTTTGTGTGAGTGCTCTTTTGGATGAAAGATTTCTAACACATAAAACAATGGTCTCCATGGCTCCTCCTTTCTTTGTCGGTTCCATTTTAGTACTTGGTCATTTGTATTAAAACATTGTATAGTTATCCTGAAAGAACAATGTCATATGACCTTTATGATACGTCTCATTCAGGGTGGTGTATTGCATTTTTTTTTTCAAACAATGTAATGAAAAACAAACAAAAAGGTGGAGCCCTGGAACTATAAAAGAGAAAAGAGGACGACTAAACTAAAGAGACGTAAGAAAAATGTGGGGAAAGGTTTGTGGAAAAGCTCATATCACAATTCTGCTTTGAGCCTAAAGGGTTAACCACATTTGTTTCTCTTTTGTCATATCCAAAAACAGATTAATTTAGGGAAAAAAAGTGTCTAAATACAGAACCAGAACAGATCTATATGAGGCACATGAACAGGTTTGATTCAAAGCTAGATTATTAATTAATATTGTTTGTGGCTGACGTAAAGATAAAAAATAAAAAAATAATCAAAAAGTATTTCAGTGAAATTAACAAGTCCATGGTCCATATCAGGTTACTTAAAACTAGTTTGGTCCCACCCAGAATATATACTGACTAGAAAAGCACTCGTAGAGCACAGACCTCTGCCTAGAGGCGCAGTTCCATTCCGTAAAAAAATATCCTGGATCCAGACAGTGACCCGGATTGCCTCCAGAATCTGATCATGTTTCTCTCTGTCCAAATCGAGCTTTACTGAAACTTTACTAAAAACGACTTTTTGACTTACACTGCAAACTAACAAACAAACAAACAAACCCTGGTGATTACCCCACCCCACAGCAGCGGTTTGGGTATTCTACTGTCATGTGGATTAGTTCCACCAGTGACCTGCTTGCGTCAATATTTGAATAAAAATATACTTCATATTCTGTCCTTTAATCTTTCAGGAGACACGGGACTACGGATGAAAAATATCCGCTTGGCTAATTCTGGCATATTTACAGAAATGTTTATTAATATGCATTAATATGTAATAAATAAATAAATAAATAGAAGAATCAGAAGTAATGTCATTGATACTGATAAAAATATTAAATGTGGTTGTATGAGTCAAATGATAAAACAAAGTCAGCACTAAACAGTTCAGATTTATGCAGCTAAAATCTGGGACAATCTTCCAAAATAATGTCGACTTTTTCTCTGACATGTTCGAATCCAGGTTTTAAAATAGTCCACTCTTTTTATAATCCATTGTGATAATGATTGTAATGCCCTGTATTGTTTCTTGTTTTGTTAAGCACTTTTGAGTTGCCTTGTGTATGAACTGTGCTGAATAAATAAACTTGCGATGCCTAAAATTATATTTTATTTTTCATTGCTATTTGTTGTGACTCGAGTAAACACACAGCCTCCTCCGCACCACTCCCACTATTCTCTTGTTGGATCCAAACCACCACACCTGACTCCCAGAGAGATGTTTTTGTCCTTTTTCAAAACCAAATGAAAAAAATGATGGAAGTTTTTGACTCCAACTTTGTCCACTCAGGTCCTGTCTAGTGTTCGCTCTGTGGTGTGGTCCCTGTGGGCTGGTCCCTGTGGGCTGGTCCCTGTGGGCTGGTCCCTGTGGGCTGGTCCCTGTGGGCTGCCTGGGCGTACAGCGGAGCGTGCAGCTTATGGCAGTGCTGATGGTTCCAAGGCAGAAGAAGAATTATACACAAAAAAATAGATCCATAAAAAATCATGAAGGCTCCAGTGAAAAGAACGAACCGAACGTCAAGGCTGCGTATGGAAGCGCCGCGAGAGAGACCGCCGCGCAGGGCAGAGGCGTGGAGGCCCAGGAATATATGTTTCAAATATCAAACTAAGTATACTAATTATTTTTATTTTTCTAAGAACTTATGTCTTTAAAGGAGACAGGGAAAGCAATATTTTTTTTTTAAGTAGATGCTTTTTTTTTCTTTGTGTGTGGATTGTGTAACGAACTTGGGTTGAAATATTGGGTTTCTGGTCCTGCTGAGATTTTAATTTGCAAAAAAAGTATGTTCTATTTGTCAGATGAGTGGCAGAGGTGGCAAAAGTACAAGACATTAAATATGTAAAACTTAGACAAGCTTTCACATGTATTTGAGTAAAAAAGTAAAATGTATTTTGTAGAATAACTGTACAATAACTTACATTATTCTGTTGCAGAAAATATGACCAAGTGGAACTGAAACGGCCTAAAGTGACTGAAATTCACTTCAAGCCTTCAACCTTTTATGAAATATAAAAACAGGCTTCAAACCTATTTTTTATATTGGATCATCTGAAATGTAACTTGTCATTTTAGGATGTACAGTAAGAAGCTCATTGGGTTCCAAAAAGTAGTTGGATAAAAGTGTTCAATTCAGAAAACTACTTTAGTACTAATACTTAGTTACTTGCCACCTCCGTGTGTTTGATTGGAAAAAGTTGCGTGCGTTTTTTTGTTCTAATCTAAAAAACTGGCCTGGTCTCTCCCCTCCACCCCTCCACCCCCCCTCGGACGGCCGGTCTCCCCCGCAGCGGTGGTCAAGGGTCAGAACTGTGAGGAAGTCCATATTTGGCCAGAGGCAGCCCGGTGGCGATGATGGGGGGGCAACCGAGGCGACCCTGCGTGTCCCTGTGGCGGCGGCGTCGAGTCTGGCGTCTCCATGGTGACGGGCGAGGGTGAGGTCTCCATGGAGATGCCGTGGTGCGACGCGGGGCTGAGGGGGGGTGATGGTCACATGTCCGCATCGCCGTCGTAGGCCAGGGTCAGCGGCTTCAGGCGGTTGTTCATCTGCCTCCGCTGGGGCTTCTTTGGCTTTTTACTAAAGACAAGAGACTCAAGTTAGACTCAAGTTTGACTCAAGTTAGACTCAAGTTAGACTCAAGTTAGACTCAAGTTAGACTCCAGGGACATGGACTTGGACTAAAGACAAGAGACGTAACACAAGAATTCCCACAGCAGTCAATTTGATGCCTCTTAGTTTTGGAAGTGTAATTACTCGTCTCATGTACATTCTTGGTCTTCGCAACTTTTTACGTCTCTTTATGTAGTTTTTTTCTGCCATTATGTATTATGAAATTATCTTTTATTGTTGAAATGTAAGTAGTTCTACCTTTAACTAATTTTCCGCCAGAGAACATCAAGTGCCTGTTACCATAGCAACACACTGTTTGCTGTGTGTTTCCATCCGTTGCAGTTATAATGACCAGTTTTAGCACTTAGAAGTGAGCAAAGCTAAAAACCTTATACAGTAAATTACTTTCTTTCAATGAATCTGGTGAACAATCTGGGGAAATTATCAGAATGGGTTTGAGTAGGAGCAGTCAAAATGACAGGTCTGGGAGTTCTCATAGTTCTAGTATTCTGGGAGTCCTAGTGTAAAATTACGCTTGAGAGATGGACTGGGACTGAAGACGAGAGACTTAAATCATGTTCCAGGGACATGGACTGGGACTATGAAGCAATAAAGGACCAAAGGAAACCCTCAGATGGGGAACCTTATTCAAACTGAACATACTTGAACTCCATACTGTCTTGGGAACATGCTGCTGTGTGCGCATGACTCCAAAATATCACATGTTTTACTTTTACATATCAATGACTTTCACAAGAATTGCTTCTGTTGGGTCAAATAAAATGTGTAGTTATAAACTCCAGCTTCAAGCCTTCTCCTGGTCATGGCAGTATGTCTATATGTCTCTGTATCAAAGTTTTCAAGATATGATTGATCAGCATTTGTGTTGGAAATACCCAAACTGTATCTCTCCCTCTGTGGGTTCAAAAAGACTAACAACAAGTATCAGCAGCTAAAGATGGGGACAAACATGCAGACAGAACTAAACTGGGATATGTGGGATTAGACAAGGAAGAGTTCCAAGGAGGATGTGGATGATATTGAAGATGGACACAAGATGGCAGCAGAGAGCAAGTGATACGGTGGACTCTGGTTCTGTGGTGATGTCAAAAGAGCAATATGTAGAGTGTTCTAATAGTGGTCATGTTATAAGATGGAGACAGAGAATTGTGATCCAATTGGTTCAAAACATTTTACTTTAACATGGTTTTTTCTAACATAAATATTAATATATATAATATACATATTTTCCTTGAAGAAGTGTTACTTTTAGTGATTTTTTTTGCTATAGATACAAAATAATATATGTATTCAGATGTTTTGATAGTTTGAAGATTCATTGTCATTAAAGATAGTGTATTTTTGTTAACATGGTGCAGAGATTTATTTTTTAAGGCTTTGGGCTAAATTTGCCCCCAAAAAAAGTAAAAGAAAGAGGGAACTACTTTTTTAGGTGGTCCTTTGGCAAAACCTTTTAATCTTAGTGTTAAGAAGATCATAAAATTCACAACTTTGACGCTTCTTCTCTGACATGGAATGACGAGTGGACGAAGACGAAGTGATTTTCTTTCATCTTCACCCGTTCAATTCATGCTTCTATATAGGTTTTTATTTTTAAATTAAGCATTAACTACCATTTTTTACAATAAATATATAAGAATGTATTATTATATTTTCTTTGATGTCTCCATGACATATTGAGGGTCGTTTAGAAATAAATCAAATTGGAAGTTCCCTGACCAGCCTTATCCTTATTCAAATGCTTCTACTCTGCTTCTACTCTGCTCCTACTCTGCTTCTACTCTGCTCCTACTCTGCTTCTACTCTGCTCCTACTCTGCTCCTACTCTGCTCCTACTCTGCTCCTACTCTGCTCCTACTCTGCTCCTACTCTGCTCCTACTCTGCTCCTACTCTGCTCCTACTCTGCTTCTACTCTGCTTCTACTCTGCTCCTACTCTGCTTCTACTCTGCTTCTACTCTGCTTCTACTCTGCTTCTACTCTGCTTCTACTCTGCTTCTACTCTGCTCCTACTCTGCTTCTACTCTGCTTCTACTCTGCTTCTACTCTGCTTCTACTCTGCTTCTACTCTGCTCCTACTCTGCTCCTACTCTGCTCCTACTCTGCTTCTACTCTGCTCCTACTCTGCTCCTACTCTGCTCCTACTCTGCTCCTACTCTGCTCCTACTCTACCTCTACTCTGCTCCTACTCTGCTTCTACTCTGCGTCTACCCCTCTTTACCTCTTAAGAGCGCTGTATTGCGAGGGTACGTGGGCACTTGTGGTGATCGGGCACTGGGGCGTTAAACAGCGTGACTATGTGATGAGAGTTTCGATCTGAGGCTGCGGAGGACTGAGCGGAGGCCCCAGCTCCTGCGCCTCCACAAGCTCCTCCTCCTCCTTTTCCTCCTCCTGCTGCTCCTCAAGCCGTCGACAGGCGGGGCACACGTAAGGCACCGCGGAGGCACTGTCAGGCCCCGCCCAGTACCCCGCCCCGTCCAGGGAGGCAGGGGTGGAGCCAGAGCTAAGGCTGTGGCGAAGAGGGGGTGGGACAGAACAGAACCAAAGAAGAAAGACAAATGAAATGGAGGAGAGTGACGTGACGAGTGGCTGAGTGAACAGAAAAAAAAGTGACAAATGAATGGATGAAATCATACACGCAACAATATAAATGATAAACAAACAGGTTGAAGAGATCTGGACCAAACCAACTAAACAGAGAGTAGAAAAAGCCTGCTCAAGGTCAATACAAAAAGGACCGCTCTTGATTTGTTTTTGTACCAATAAGATCAAAAGACAAGAGTTTCTGCAGGGATGAGCCGTTTTATCAAGAACTATTCGCAACACATCAAGTCCACATTTCTCTATTTTGTATAACCTTGTTTCATGCCTAAACCATGTCTAAAAAGGACAACAATCTAAGTCCTTCTTTATAAAGTAGTGCTGCCTTTAACATTCTAAATCTTTCCTTCCTCCATACTTCCTTACTTTATCCAGACAGTGTTTTGTGAGGTTGTGTGGAGCACTTTGTGACTTTGTTTTGAAAGGTGCTGTACAATAAAAATACATTTCTTCTTGATATTAATATGCCAGAGCTTCCATCATGTCACTGTGGCCATAGAGAGCCCCCTTACCAGGCTAAGTACGTCATAGAGATGATGAAGACGAGCAGGACGAAGGCTCCCGCTGCCACGCCGTACACCCACGTCTTCAGCTTCCCATCTGCAACAAACCATTCACAACATTTACACATTTTTACACTTCAGTAACTTATTGTTAAAAGGATATTCTTATCTTGTCATTGTCTGGCCCACAGTTTTATCTCTACTAATTCTTGTATGTTTGAGGAGTCCTGCATTGTTCAGTTTGAGAAATGTCTGTCACCTATCACCTATCCTAGCCCATTCATGTATTCACAAACAATGTCGCATAACCGTTAGAATGTACATGGACAGGTTTAACATGAATAGTTAGGTCTGTAGGGAATGTGAGGAAGTTAAGGACTGAATACACCCAAAAAGAGCATCTATCTTGGTAACATTACTTTATCAAACTTTTGGACGTGATAAATATGCAAACAATATTGGAGAAGCACCTGAAAACGAAACATACAATAGAATACAATACAATACAATTATTCTTGTATAGCCCTAAATCACAACAGAAGTCATCTCAGAGGACTTAACGAAACCATTGAAATCACCAACACAGATCAGAGAATCAACAGTTAAAACACATAAAGAATAGAACACGTGTTGATTAATGTCCATACATGTTGTAGAATGTTAAAGTGTCCTGGATCATCACCATATCCTTTTTGTTGGACACTAACTGTCCAACAGACCCTCAGATGTTTGAACTGCAATGTGCAGTTGTGACCACTAGAGGGCAGTGGATTCAAAGGCAAAAGAGCTGTCCATGGTGCTGAAATACCTCTGTGCTGTATTACTGTATTATTGCTTTTTAAACACAATTTCAACCGTCTGAAAGATTAGACGTCTTTTGATATTCGACGAAGGTTTGAAAATTTGTTACATGTTCTATTTTTCTTTGTTTGTATTGGGATGGCTCAATGGAGGCTCAACACATGGACACTTAATAATGTTGCACTCATGTATAGATATAAGTGTACAGGTATTGAACATGTGAAAATGACAGCAGAGTGTCCAGTTTTGCAGGAGTTATTTTTTCTGTATTGTCCCCTCAGAGAAAGTTGAACAGGCATGATGGATCGTCTGTCAGTTTTTAAATCCTGTCAGTCATCTATAAACAATTGTAATGTAACAGTAATGTAATAACGCTCTCCTCTAATGGACAGTGATGGTCAAAAGGGGATTTATGTCTGAGCCTATAGTCTGAGTCTATAGTCTGAGTCTATAGTCTGACTGTGGCTCCTCTCTCTTATAACAGACCACTGCAGTGTAATTCATTTGCAGGATGACGACATGTGATTTCCCAGAGTGCAAACTGTGAGAAAGTGGGCTGTATTTATAGCTGGTGAGAATTTTGAGAAAGTGTTAATCAAGTGAGAAGTGAACACGTTGAGATTTACTTCCTGCCGTTCCAACGCGTCGCTGAGGTACCTGACTTGCAAACTAAATATACAATCACTAGTTACTCGCTCTATAACAGTTCGGTTCTGTCACTAGTTTTCACATAACAGTCAACATGTTTTCTATTAGGATGATGCCAGCTTGTTGTGGTCTGAGACTATTACAGGACGCTTTCTGTTAGGTTAAAAACACATGTACTATTTATGAAAACCAAAACTAGGTGCCACAATGTATTCATTGGTGATTCTTAATGTGAAAAATAATGGTAAACATTAAGTAATCAAATACTATATGGCTTTAATGGCTCTCTTCCCTATAATATGTTGTAATTTAGACCATGTAACAAATTCTCATGTATGAACATTAGTTAACCCATTATCCATTTTTTTGTGTTGATTTTGAAATCTGTAAAACAAAAATGGTGTGAAGTTATTTGAGATGACCGCTGCTGTGGTTTAGGCTTTTCACATGACACAAAATCATGTTGTTATCCCAATCTAAAAACTGAGTGACATACAGTAGTAATTAGATTTTCAACTGATATCTTGCAGATTGGACCTTGTAGAGACCCAGTGCTGTAAGAATGGTCAGCATGGAGCTTTTACTATTGCGTCTACAGGGCTCCAGGAACAATTGTTTTGTAGATTCTCTGATGCGGGGGTCTATCACTTTGCAAACAGTTCAGCATAGAGTGTTTTTCAACCAGTGGGCCGTGGCACCGCAGTGTGCCTTGAGACCTTGTTTTGCGTGCCTTTGAAAATGATCCAATATCACCTCATTGGTCAGAAGAAAATAATGGGTAGAAGATGAGACTTGTTTAAGCTTGTTTGATTATTTATACAATACATTTTTGTTGAGAAGGACTTTGCTTTGCTAAAAAGGCTGCAGAGTTTAATTTTTGCATTATTTTCAGTTTATTCTCAATGATAAAGGTGTGCCAAGGCTTAAAAGGGTTGGGGGACACTGCCATAGCCTTCTAGAGACCAGTGTGATGGACAGTAAAGGCACCATGCTGAACACTCATACAGCCACTGGCTCTGTACAAGATCAAACACACAAATATAAAAAGGTTTAAAGCATGAGAGAGCGGTGTGTAGGGCGCACCTGGACCAAAGGGCTGCAAGAACCACGTCCGGCCGGCCCGCCCGGGAGAGCTGGCGGCAGGCTGCGTGGGGTTGAAGGCGCGGATGGTCTTGACGTCGGCTTTGTTGTCTCCGGCCGTGGGGATCTCCAGCACTGGGATGACGGTGCACTGGTCCAGCACGCCATCTGAAGTCATGACCTCCGTGTAGCCCTCCTCACAGCCGCACACTCCGGCCTGGACCAAACACACAGGACCAGGTTACATAGGACCAGGTTACACAGGTGACATCGCTGCCAGCTTTATAGTCACAATCTATGACACATGTAGAACTCTAGTACGTAAGTTTGTCTAAAGCCTCTGCCAGAATACATTCCATTATCCTTTTCAACAAAACAACACACGGGACACACAGATTTTCATGTCTAATTTTTGTTATTTCTGCCCAGGGCCGGTTATTGAAAATCTTCTGACATTTTTTACAGAAACATTTTGCCTTTAGTTGATTTACCTTATGTCCCCTTATGGACAAAAGGCTCTATGTGTTTTTATCATTGCATTTCTTGTGTTTGAACTGTGTTGGCAAATTCAACGGTTTTGTAAAGTCATCCAAGATAACTACTGTTGTGATTTACTGTAGGGCTGTACAAGAATAAGATGAATTTCATTTATAGATCCTTTTAGAAGTGGACTGACTGAGTACTGAGGTCACCGTAGTGTTAGCCTTAATGCGCAAGAAGACGATATAAACATAAGCTAGCTGGAGACAATTTCCTTACAAGGGTATTTTTTACGATGGGGTTAGCTTTGTGCTGGAACAGGGGCTGACGTGTTAAGATGGTTGTTAAGGCAAACTGGAGTTACCCCCTGAGAATGACAGCGTCTGATTGGCCAAATGAACTAATTTCTAGACAAATGGATATGACAAATAAAAACACCAAGATCACTGAGAGCGCTAAATTACACATTTCAAAGCCGAAAATGGTGAGTGTGACCAAAACAGTTAATGAGCTAGAGGAGTTTAATTTTCAATGTAAGCCAATAGGAACCAGAGCGAGTTGGAGCAAAACTTTGTCCATGAGCACTTCCCTATTAGCCTAGATTGAGCTTGGGGGTTAGCCATATCCATCTATGTAGTCTATATACAACATTTATACTATGTACAAATGTCATAATACATTTTGGGCGAGTGAGGGGTCTTCCATTAGTCTGAGCCGAGAAAGTCTGACCTCCATCTCGACTCTAAATGCAATGGTGCATAAGTCACTCCCAAAACATGAGAATCCAGTTCATAAACACAAAAGTTTTTTGTTTTCATGCTGTCTTAATTCATGCTTGTTTGAGTGATCCAAATGTTTTTTCCTTTCCAATTCTTTGCCGCGGAGACTTGGTCCGAAAATATAATCAGACACTGAAGAGGGTCATCTAAAGGTTACTTCCTACAGTGAGAAAATCCAGTAATGAAATAGCTGCGATTCAAAGTGGAAAGCCGTGGATTTTCAAACAAACAAAATGGTTTTCCAGCCAAATGTACGGCTCTCACCTCGTCCCACCCACACACACTTGAAGTTCGCCGTGTCCATCTTTGTACAGTCTACTCTCCAAATAGACAGTGTCAACAAATGTCTTCCACATTAGCAACCGTATTTTTGGTGGCAAGAAAACCCTGCTAAGTCTGAGCCGAGAAAGTCTGATCTCCATCTCAGCTCTAAACGCAACGGTGCATAGGTCAATCCCAAAATATGAGAATAACAATTGTTTATTCTTCTCATGTTGTCTTGATTCATGCCTGTTTGAGTCATCCAAATGTTTGTTTCCCTTTTCCCGTTCTTTGCTGCTGTGGCTTGGTCCGGAAATATAATCGGACACTGAACAGGGTCACCTATAGACTCCTTCCCACAGTGAGAAGATTCCTAAACGAGATAGCTGCAAGCGGTGGATTTGTAAACAAACAATGTGCCAAAATGGTTTTCCAGCCAAATGTACGGCTCTCACCTCGTCCCACCCACCCACCCACACACAAACACACACAAACACACACACACACATTTGCCCTGTTGCAAAGAGAACCTACACAGAGCACATTCTAAGCCCTACAATATGTGGCACTATCCATCATTCCTGGGCTGCGTTTCATTATGAGGTGAGGTCTTTCTGTGGACAAAGCAGGCGCTACGCGACCAATTAGCAACGCATTTGAATGTTTGTGGCTGCATCCGCATTAGCATATGTCACTGAGCAGAATGATCGTGCCTCCACAGACTCCTGAAGCTGCCTCTCCGGCTCTTGACCAGCACTGTTGACTTTACGCACTTCCACACACACTTATTTCGAGGTCAGAGGGAAAATGGGACACTGCGGCAGAGACGGAACATGCTCTGTCAGTGTGGAGTGTTCTGTGCAACGCTATGAAGAGCTTTTGAAAGAGGACACACAACTGGCCTCCTATAGAATGTCATAAGTCTCAACAATTATGGGTGGGAGTTAGAAAATATTTGACAATTCGATAATATTGCGAAATATGGGCCACAATTCAATGTTATTGCGGTTCTTAACATACTGCGAAACAGCAAGGATCGTGATTTGATTCTGCGATATGTTGCGAATCCTTGTATTATTCAAAGGCATTAAAGACACAGAGGAAATTAAGACTCCTCACTCACTCAAGTGCAACAATGCGTTGTGTGAAACCGGTTGTGATGAAGTTGCTTTTGAATAAATGCATGAAAACAAAGCATTGCAACAAGCGACACCTTGTGGAAGTAATACGCATGTGTACATGTGTATATTACTCAGAGAAACCACGAAAATTAAACAGATCATTGTTGAATTAAATATTATGTGATACTTTGCTCTAATGTATAGATTTAATGGCGTGCACAAAATATCACAGTACTGAACAGAATCCATTATTTCTATCAACAATATTTCAACACTACAAAAAGGGCTCGACTTTCTGACCATGGAGAAATGAAAAGAGTTAACTGCAATAATTCTTCTTTTGGTGACATCTTTCTGTTGGTAAAACAGTCTGCATCCTGTGTTTCCTGAACACACAGACTATATAAAGCTTGTATGAAGACAGTATGAAGACAGTATTTTACAGAGATCCTGTCCACACATGAAAGACTTCCTTAAACAAGTGTTCAGTCAGATGCTCCTTGTGTTATTGATTATTTGCTCCTCTGTACATCGTCTACCGTTACAGGTCAGTCACTTATCTCTCCTGTCTTCCTGCTGCCATCTTTCAGATGATTTCACTGCTAGACATTTTGGCACGCATGAAAAAATTACCTTATTTACGTGAAATACTATAAAACAAGTGCAAGTCAACATGCAATATCAGTGCGGACATCAGCAAAGTGATAAATCAATATATAGATTTAAAAAACTATAGAGAGCACCTCCGCATGTGTCTCCAAGTTTTTTTTTTCTTATGTGAGATTTTTTTGCTGCTGTAGTTTCTTCTAATGAAATACTCATCCATTTTAAATGAGATTATGTAACGTTGCATTCCAACCCCGAGTCTATAGAGGGAAGACGTTCTAATGATCTGTAAACAACATGACTTTTCAAGCTAATTCACATGAAATAAACACAAGGAATGTATCATGTAAATGTAAAATATAATATATATATATATATATATATATATATAATAATATAATCTGAATTAAAAAAAAAATAATTAATACTCTGGACCAATAGAATTTGAGTCTGGAATAAAGATGAATATAAACACCAGGAAGGAGGAAATACACTTAGTAGTTAGAGGTCCAAAAATGTGAATATAAAAGTCTCTAGGAGTAAATCTTCCTTTTTCCGATTATCTAAACTAAAAGAAGCAGTGACAAATCCGACCACAACCTGCTGTCTTCATCATGTTAGAAAGCATGTTGTCTTTTGCATACTTGTAAGAAAGAGCCCTGTGAGTCACAAAATGACTCTTTGGGCTGAGAGTTGATTGGCTGAGAGAGGGTGGTCCTCCTTTATCATTTAAAAAAATATTGATCTCCATATGTGACAGAGGCCAAAAACACATGCACGTGAAAAGTATATTCAATTTATAAAGAATCTAGATAAAGGTACACATTTGTAAGCATTTTGAAAACCTATGGTAATTTTTTGGTTGACAACAAGTGTCTTATGTTAACAACCTCTTGGCGTCAACGTTTTGATGCAGTTCAATCAATTAGGGCCATTTTGAACTTGTTTTGGCACAATTTTTACCAATATGTGCCAAACCGTTTTATAAAAATTGAAGATTTGAGCGTGAGGAACTCGGATGGCATTTATTACATAGTTCTATTATTGTGGTTTATCCCAGATTTTAAAAACGCCAGTGTTTAAAGTAAATTGGAAGTTAAAGAGACGCAGCGTTTAATCAATCAGAGGCAACAGTTGTAAAAGATTGGCCCCAAAGAGCTGTTGTCTCCAGCTGCCACACACACATCGCAGACGTGTGGTAAGAGGGTGTGTGTTTGATCATTACTCCACAGGGGGCCGCGGTCTCCAGCCGGATAATCGCCCCGGAAATCCCCATAATGCAACACTTGGCAGATCCACTGACCAATGGATTCGGATCCTCCCCGTCCAGACACAGGGTTTAGGCGTGTTTACAGCAGGAGGGCAGGGGCCATGTGGGGCTATTGTCAAAAGAATGATTACAGTTTTTGACCACATTTGGCTTGTATTAGAGAGGAGGGAGATAAACAATCGCTTGGCTGTAGTTTAAATGGTTGTTTCTCCTGTGTTCAGGCGACCCGGCTTTCATCACTGCGTGGAGCGAAAGGAAAAATGCCAACAACTATTGTGAAGCGCTTTGAGCCTATGGAAGGCGCTATACACATAAAGGTTTTATATAGATATAGATTTACACAACAGGCTCCTTCTCAGACAACTGGAAATATCATTGACATTGTAGATGGATCTCTCTGTTTGAGAAGAATAATTATGGTTTTAAATATAAAATGACAAGATTTAGTGCAAACATTTTTGTGCAATGACATTTTTGGATGTACAGTATGTGTACGGCCAATTTGTCATATAAATGATGCCACTGCACTGAAAAAATACAACAATAAATATTGTGATTATTATTATTTCAATGAGAGCGAATCTACCCTGATTCGAGTGTATTTTGTTTTAAAAGATCAGCTTTTGTTTTCATGAAAGCACAGTAGAAGTCTTTCTGATTTCCAGGTGTGATATTGCTTCTCTTTTTCATATTTGAGGAA